GAATTTTGAACTATTCTTCTTAGAAAAGCTCTTTTAAGAGTCAAGTCTTCATATTTATATAAATCAGCATAATGCCATTGAGGCATGGCAGCAGAGGATCTGGTCCCATGATCTATATCTCCAAATCTACTGTGAATTGCAAACCTACCCAGCTGTGGCATTTTAAATTCTGAATTATTAAAGGCTTTTCTAAATTGTCACATCCTCCCCATCCACCATTTGAAGAGGTATTATTTGCACATGAAACCTCTTGTACACCTAAAGAATAACAACTATTTAGAGTTCAGTGTACTTACACAGTAATTACTTCTCAGTTTCCCATGGAAGAGGAGTTGCAATGGGAAACTACACTAGTTAAACTGTGTAGTGCTCTGAGGGCATTTGCTATCATGAGACCAGTAAGTCTCTACCTGTGGTTTCTGAGAGAGAAATACTGAAATAACAGATTGACTACAGCTGACTTTAAAGCATGCCTAATTATCTCATTCAATATGTACCTGTTACAGGTCTCAGAGTTTCTAGTAAATAATGAAGTAATTTAACCCCTTTCTCTAATTGAAGGTTTCCAGGTTTCACCATATATCTCACAGCTTTGAAACAGAGCATTCCTTGATCAAAAAACCTCCATGCTTACCATCACTAAAACAAGGGTAATACCCTTTCACAATCAAGGAAATACTAGCTAATAAAATCAGAGAGGCTCTGAACATTTTTAAGTACAACAGTTACAGTCTCTCAGGGAAATATGAAATACAAACTGAAGAAAGATCATCACTGAAGGGATGCTATGGGCCTATAATGGGAGTATAACTGAATAACAGAGAGGTTAAAGCCCCCTGAAAGGTAGAAATCTTAGTACTAGCACAAGGCACCCTGAAAGTTTGAGCATCACCTCTAAAGTGAAATACATGTAGTCATCTTAAAGCAAAAAGACCATCCCAACATGCCTTGGGAAAAAGAGCTTGTGACTGACTTTTCAGCAAGCATTTACAAAAACTCCATCTTTGAACAGATTCCCTTCAAACTGTTTCACAGTCAGGAAACTTTAAGACCACTGTTTGTGACCGACAGTTTTAATGTTCCTCAGAACTGTTGATCTGACATTCTTCCCACAATTGCCATGAAAGGCTGCAGTAAGGAAGGATAGGTCCCATCTATTAAGCATGCTGGCCCACCTGCATACCTCATATTTCTCTTTCATGCATACTTTATTTTGTGCAACCAGATTTCATAGGCAGAATGAATTAGAAGATACAGGCTATGCTGGAAAAGACGACATCAGAAAGATGGGAGACAGGACTAAATTAGCTGCCAGAAGTATTTACTGAGGGCACCCAAAACCCTGAATAGATTTACTTCTGCTGCATTCATGCTCTCTGGGTGGAATCAGATCAGCTGAAAGTGCTATTTCTTCCAAGAAGTTATTGACATCTCAGAATTAAACTACATTAAAACACCAGAGGAAGATGTTCATTCTTTTAACATGTAGAAAGCAGCACCTGTGAACTGTGCAATTGCAGGCACATAGATAAAAAACTCTCTATGCCCAGGGATGAAAAACAAGAGCAGATATAAAAATGGTACCACTCATCAGAGATGCACGTCTCATGTGTCTTCTCAATACCAAGGGCTAAATAGCAAGTTTGTTCCAGTCACAAACACAGCAGCTGTCCAAGGAGTGACAGACTCAGAAACATACAGTCTCCTTTTCAGTTCCCTATACATATATTCTACATACTACCCTCAGAGCATGGCTAAAGCCACCCACTCTTCACCTAACACAAGCTGTTAGCTCTGTTGTTCTCTGCTGGCTTTCTGTCTTTTGCACACTATGCCCCCTTATACTTTAAGACCATAGGAAGGTGATGAGTTATCTCCAACTTAGTGCTGTTTAACAGCTCAAGGGCTGTAGCAAGTGTTCAGAGGAATCAGGGGAGTGAAACAAGAACTGGCAAAACCCTGCTGTTATTTACAAGAGATCTTGTGATTGTTCCCCCTCTGTCAGTTGCCTGCACAGATCAGCAGGGAGTCATGCTTAAATACTGAATGCATGGAGAAAGATATCCTGAAGTTTAATGCACATTTCAGACAGATGGTAAAATCACTGTATCTTTCCCACAAACATGTGCAGCTCAGAGTTAAAGCTAACAATCAAGGAAGTGGACTACAAACCTTCATAAACTCAAGGAACTCACATATATGCCAACCGCAAAAGCCCATCATTACCATATTCTGTAGGTAATGATGTAATTAATTTGCAAGTAATATACAGGTGGAAGCAAACAAACAAAAACCCAAACCCCTAAAACCTGTTCACACATAAGAGACATTCAGGAGGTAATCATGTTTATACAAAATATTAGTCTCTAATATTTTATCTTCATCCTGCAGTTATTGGCATAATGTAGGGGGGGTTATTTTTGTAAGAAGTGTAGCTATTGCACAATTTAGGAGTATCATGATGCAGTGTTCTTTCAGCTGTGGACTGTGGACAAACACCGACTCCGAGACAAGTGAGAAAATCATCTAGGCCATATACTCATTCTCACTCAGGAAAAAAAAATGGTGGGAAAATAATAATCTAAAAAGTAGACTAACTTTGATTTCATGTCAGATGAAAAATATCATGGCAACACTGTCTACTATGGTTTTTAAGATAAGACAATCTTTCCATTTCAGAGGGTTGAGAAATGGAGAAACCATGCCCTTTTTTTTCTGACCTGAGCTTCACATGACAGTAACACATTTCTATCAGTAACTACTTATGTGTATTGATTTTTTTAAAAATAATGCTTCTATATTAAGTATGAACACAGTGAAATTTATAACATGATAGACAACAGCAGACACTGCCTGTGGATCAAACAGAGCTAAATAGGCAGACCCAAGATTTGAGCTACTCTTTCCATCTGAGAAAAGCTAGTTTGTGCCTCTACTATCTTTCTGTTAACCCTAAGATATTACCACCATTTTAAAGATTCAGTACCAGAATATTTAGTATCTGTGCATTGTTCTCTAGATTTCCAACTCTTTTCAAGCACTGTATTATTGTAGCGAGCACAGATAAAGAAATAAATCATCATATGATTTAGATTATTATTTTTCCTTAGGAGTATGAAAATGTTCAAAAGTGTTTATATCTCATGAACTCTTAGCTAATTTTTCTATTTAGAAACCTCTCGAGGAATTGTTTCCAGGGTCTTTTCTTCTTGAGAGACAGAACCTTTTGTTAAGAGTTTGCTGGATATGATGTAAAGATTGGAAAGTGAAATCAACCGAACCCCAGCCAGAGATGCTAATTGTGAAAGACTCCTTCTGACAAGAATTCAAGATCGTTATTCTCAGCAAAATCACCTCACTTTGAATGAAAACAGGAGTAATGTTAAATACTTGTTTTTCAGTTGGCTGCATGTTTTGGCTGTAAAATGCACAATTCTGTCTCTGTTTTGTCACCAAGTGAATTGTCTTAATGGTCTTCCTAGATTTAATTTACACAATAAATTGTAATCTGCTGCCTTCAGTACTCAAATTTGTTTCTTTCTTTCATGGGTTGAAGGTCTAATTCTATTATACAATGCAATTTCATACGTGGTAAATTAAGAGGCACAAAAATTTGACTGCACACGCAGGATTCTCTTCAGAGCACAGGGGAGTGCTGGGCATGTGAAGCAGGACACCCATCTGAATCTTTTCTTGCTCGTCATTTGCAATTTGTTCTACTGAATCTGGAACAGCCACTTAAGGACAGGCAAAGTGCCATTTTATGAGCGTGGTATGTGCACAGATCGCCAAGAGACTACATATGAAAATTGAAGTTGCTCAGTGACAGGAGCATTCCAAGCTAGGAATGTCCAAGCAGCTGGGAAGGCTGATCTACCCTGCCTATTTTTAATGGGATGTGTCATTTGGCCTAGATTAATTTCAGAAATAAAAGATACTTCTGCAGATATGTAAAGGGAATTTGTGTGACTCTGCTGAATTCAGATTAGTATAATGCAATAGTAGTGTAAGGCTGGTTTCCTGGTCTTTTGGCGTGTTCCACGGGGAGCAGTGCTGGGTGCAGCTGTACTGTAAAGCTGGGAGGCAGGCCAGCGAGCCACCATGCAACACCTACTGTGCAACAAGAATGTGCTCTCTCCCAGAGAGTGTTAACAGGGAGGCTACAGTTTACACTTTTCCAGATAAATCCATATTTACGCAGAACAGAATACTTGAATGTCTATGTCCTGTCATAATCCTGTTGAGATCAGATGATAATTCTTCCACTAGCTTCTACAGAAATCTGACTGATTTAACGTTGGTAGAGAGCCAGGACAAGTAAATCCTGTCCTTTAAATTTAGATCAGAAGACCACTTCTGTCTTTCAGATTAGGAGATCTATGTCTCCATCATAATGCATCCACTAACAGGATTTAGCCTTTGTGTGCAGTTAAACTCCTTGGGGTTACAACCACTTGATTCCTAATTCAAAGGAAGTAGGTGTGAATGCTCAGATATTGCTTTATCTTGTTGTCACGGCAACAAAATCCTCATAGCTGCAGTGTCATTGTTAAGTCAGGTAGCAAAGGACAGCCAGAGGGTGTTCACTGCCTCCACCCCCCTCAAATGTTGATACCACAAAAAAGTCCTGTTCCAAAACACTGAAATATTGTAATACCTATTTCAGGACCACTGTAATGCAGTTGTCTTCATACATGTTGACAGATGTTATACGTTCTCTTCATAGACCTGTGTTCTTCCCTCCTGTTAGCTAAACCAGTATTACTACTCAAACCTACCTCTTTTTTTAATGGAATATATTTTAAGAAATATAAAAAGGAAGGCTGGGTAATAGTAAATATTTTACAGGGGACCTTGACATTAATTTGTGAAATAATTCCAGATAAGAAAGTATATCTGTAAACAGATACCAGTCTGGGGTAATATGATGAACATTTATATGAACTGGCTTCTACAAGCTAAGAAAAAAAAAATAAAAAAAAAAAATCAAATAGAACATCGTTTAGAACATGTCTTTTAATTGATGATTAATTTCTACAGTGCTACAGTATTAACAATTTCTAAAACAAATATATGAATCTATAGCTCAACAAATCTTATAATCTTTTCAAATAAATAAGTTATTAAAAGTATCATACTGTGTTGTTTTCCTGTCTGTGTAAACTGCTAATGATAACGCATTTCAGAAAAAATAACAATGAGCATCTGTGTGCATTTACATTATCAAGAATCTTTAAGTACAATACTATACATTATATGCTTAGGTAAGTATGTCTGTACTTACACTTCTACAAAGCCATCAACTGAAAAGACATAAAATACATTCAAGACTGAACAGAAAAGCAAGAGAGCTGTGAATAAAAAGACAACATGTTTCAGTTGATACAACATGACACAGAAAATACTGTCTGTACAGTTTAGAACTGAAAAGCCACTGCCAGTTGCAGGCCTGAACTTGAGAGCAAGTTCCTATGAAATGGCTAGTTACCCAACATCCAGGTTCTCTGGTTTGTCTTGGTACAGCCTTAAGTTCACTTGTCAGACTTACTCAGTTTCTTGACCTAAGTGTTTCACAAGACAGTTCTCAATCTGGTAATTCATAAGGATGAATCACTTATTGACATCTGTAAAGCCTTCAGTCATACTGAAGGCGCTCAAGACCCCTAGAATGGCATCAGTGATGTACAGTACCAGACACTGAACCAAGAGTACCACCCACTATTAAGGTGTGTCGTCATGAAAGCAAGTTTCAGGATCTCTCCTTGGCAAATATTAACCTGCCACTAAGAGCCTTGCAAAGCTTAGTTGGCACTAATAATACTGCAACCCACTTGAGCCAGACAACACAGAGCTTTGCAGAAACAGGAGGTGTCTGTTTCTTAAACAGTCATTGTAACAAACAGAATAAAACATTTTAATGGGCTACAGTTAATCATCTATAAAAAGTATATGTTCATCATCAATTTAAATTGTAAACTGGTAAATTATACAGTATCTCTGAGTACATTTTAAAATAAACATTATGAAATAAAATTTAATTTTCAGAAAACCTTTCAACCTTTTTGTTCAAAACCACATTTAATCAATCCTTTATAAACAACTGCAGCCCATTTGCCTGCCTGAAAATTTTGATTTATGAAGCCCTCCTGCCTAGTGCTAACTTCCCTTCCTTTTTTTTTTTTTTTTTAAGGCAGATTAAGTAAGAGCTGAATTCACAAAAACTGTTAATATAGCAACTACTTTAAATTATAATTTATTATCATGGTTGTAATTTGTTTTCATTATAGTTTATTTAGCAATATATAAATATCCAAATATCCACTAAAGTAAGCTACTTTGAAGACTGCAAATACCACAGTCAGGGCAGTAGCTAGACCTACCTTTAAAATGCACATATTTCTTTCTGGATAAGAAAAGGTAGGTTCCCTCTGGTCACAGAAAAGGTCTCCATGCACCTCCCTGTTAACTAGTCATTGCAATCTGTACATTAACATGAAATCCACTAAATATTATGTTCAATAGGAAACAGCACACTGCACCATTTCTCCAAGGCTGTTAATTTTGAGCTGTGCTAGAAGAGTGTGGCATAGCTATCTTGGCATACCAGTATTTCAAGAAATATAGTACTAAGATAGCTGAGTGGAGCAGAAAAACCCTTTCTGTAACATCCTTTATGCACAGAGATCCTCCCAGCTGATCTCATGAGCTCACTACACAGAAGGTATGAGAGCACATTGAGTTTCCTCTCTTCTCACATCCTCGAAGTGAGAGGTAGTGAGAGGTGAGAGAAATTACATCTATCAACTACTGTTCACAGTGGCCTCAGTGACCCTCTTGGCAGCTAATGTGGAAGACTTGTACTGCCCATTCCCCGAAGCCAGGATCTGGCTCTAGTCGTTCTGGGCAGAGATGGGAAATAAGATGATTCACTCAATCTGTCCTGGAACAGCATCTCCCAGTGGGAACAGTGTGTGAGTGTTGGGGGGAACCTCAAGAAATCCAACTGCTTTTGGCTGGAGTTTATAAAAAGGATGGTGTGTTTATGTTACTACCAATAGTAGGAAATGTCACCTGATGAATAGGAATCCCCTTCTAAATGCCTATTCTTATTTATTGACATTAAAAAAGCTTCATACGGTCATACTCTATATTAATCCATTCCAGAAGGCATATGTAGCACAAGTAAGAAAACACCTTTATATGAACAATTTATTAAAGACTACATCAAAATATTAAAGATGCTGTTCGAATACATTCCTAATCTTTCATAAACAGCAGGATTTCAATGCTTTAGAAAACTAGGAATATGGCAGAGAGGAAGACAAAAAAGACAGGTGTCAAAAAGAAGTTGGTAAGAGAGCACCATATGAAAATCATACTTATCTTTTTATGTCCATTTAACGAGCTAATTAAATGTTTCACGATGTTATATTGAAGTTTAAGTAAGCTACCTAGGATAAAATCTCGACCCATCTGAAGACAATGGTAAGAAGATTTTACCTGCAATTCTCACTATCTTTGAGAAAATATTAAAACAAAACGTACACATTGAGGCTTCATTGAAAGGCTTCAGTCACAGAAGAAGAGGAAGAAAACGAACATGTTGCTTTTTTAAAGTACCTGCATCTACATGGCAATCCCTCTGGTCTATGAAACACTGAATACAATACTATAATTTTTAGCTTTATCTTTATTCATTTACCATTTAGCAAGACTTTTATGGCTGTAAATCGCTTTAAAAATTGTATCATTACCTTGTACACTGTTGCTTTATGAAAGTACAAACCCAAGATTTCAGCAAACAGTGCTGTATTTTTTTCATGTCACATGTAAAAAAGGATATAAAAATAGCTCCTTGATTGACATACAATAATATCCTTAGGCCACAGTGAAAACAAATGTAATACAGTGTTATAGCACAGGTATAGTATCTGTGGCATACACTCATCTATCTTAACAATGTGATTTCAAAATCACACTGTTAAAGTATCCAACGCTTTTTCAATTAATTGATAGCTCTGGTCTTCAATGAGCTGCCCTGACAGTAAAAAAAGACACACAGAACTTAATCTAGCCTTACTCATATTTCATCACACTCTTTGCTTGCTGAGAAATATTTCTAAAAACTGCCGTGAAATTGCTCATGGATCAAAAATCAAGTGAAGTTTATAAAACAGTACTCTAAGAACTTTGGACAAATACAACTGCTAGTCTGACCATGTGTACCACAACTATTTTGTGATTCAGTGTTGTATTTCATTAAAACTTTTCTTAATTTTAGCTGCATATAAAACAGAAGTAATAAGTTAAATTATAGCACCTTGCGTGAAATTTGTTCTAAAAAATACAAATAGAGCTTCTAAAATTGTAAGAAATGCCACTATTCTATCTCAAGTCCACTATGCACTTATCATTTAAAAGGAAACATTTACATGTAATGAATACATGCACAAATATCACAAATATAAGGCACAAAATGGAATTTGAAAGTTAGGGATGTAGTAAATCCTTGCTTTTTCATCAAATTACCTGATACACCAGAAAAAGGTGCATCTACAGTTTTCAAGAAAGCTATATTATTATAGAATCATTGAAGATAAAAATGGAAACTGCCTATTCAAGTATGTAGTTCAAACTCTTGCCAGATTATTTTCCACTATTGCATTACATCTAACTTAAAACCTTCCAAGAACTTGTATGCATTGATAAGCACTACTGTGTCATTCTATAGTTGAACTGATCTCATTGGTAGGATCTTTCTCCTGATATTCCTTGGATATTTACCTTGTTTCAAATGTATATAATCAGTTCTAGATACACCTTCATACTTAGAAAGCCTCTTCCTTTACATGTATGTCATATTACAAAAACTTAATCATACTTAACAACTTCTTTCTCACATCAACTAATTTTGTTACTGTTCTCTGACTTTTCAGGAGGTCGATTCAATTCCTTACCCCCGAGGTATGCAAAATATAAGACCATACTCCAGAAACGACCTCGGCAATCACAAGGAGTATTATGATTTCCAGCTGCCTGATGCAGTTCTTCTGCATATATACTCTTCATTTGACATTAGTGATGCCAGAAGCAACCTTGCTGCCTACATTATCAAGGCTTCTTATTACATTATTAGACATCAATCTTCTCTCTCTCTCTCACACTAAGTATCCAAGTTTCCTCAAATGTATTACCTTTTCTCTGAATCTTTTAGGCTGCATCTAATTTGTTGGACCTCTACCACTCAGGTATCATAGAGTGTAATATCATCTGTAACTTTTCTTAATATACTGTACATCCCTCGTGCAGATTATTGAAGACATTAAATAGAATTAGGTCAACACAGTATAAATAATTAATGGGGAGGGAGCAATTATCATTGCACAATGGGATGATTCAAAGCACAATTTACATTTTAAGACACTTTCAAATATATTTTATCCCACTTAGCTACTTATAAGATGTTAAACATCTCACTATAGGTACAGTTTCTAAATGCAATACCATAATTTTTCTGCACACATAATTAAACGTAGAATAGGAAACATGCTGACTATCAGTCTTCCTCTGCAAACAAGTCCCATTCCAGCCACTGATCAGAGAAAGGTAGGTACATCAAATCTACTCCTCAGCACAAACTTTTAACCAGCTAATATTATATCTATTATTCTACGTATCTTTAAAATTACAAATGAAAGTATACAGAGATCAAAATTTGCACTGACAATCAAGAATTCAGCTCCTCTCGAAAGTCCTTCTGGAATTCTACAGTGTGATCCTATAATTCAAAGAATGTTGAACAACATGCTAACAGTACTCATAAATGGAAAGGTATTATTTAATATAAATCTTAAATAACATTTAAGCCACCTAGTCTATGAAAAACTTTGTTACCTAATTTATGTTCTGTTTTCCAGAAGACTCACTTTCAATACAACTTATCAACTCTCCTTCTGTTCTTGATGATGACTACAGGTCATAACAGAATTTTCAGAATAGAAAGCACAGCAGCCAACTATTCCAATTCTTAAATCTATTTGCCAACCTATTGAGAATAAGAAAATAATTTGTCTGAAGAAATGCACAATTAAAAGTCAAAGTGAAATCAAGAATGAAAAGGTAAGTCTGAAGATATATTAATTGTAAAAATAATACAGTCCATGCTATTTTATGCACAGTTGTTTATTCTTGTTCCATGTTTTAAAATTTGGACTCAGAAAAATCACAGGAAATTTTGGTTTTTTACCCTCTTTTTTCCATTAAAAGCACCATAGTTACAAGGCTTGATTCAATCGTCCTTTTCCACAATCACTTCTCCATGAAGCACCCTTCTTCTCTGCCGCAGCATGTGGAAGTAGAGTTGTGGAAATACTTGATCAAAGCATAAAAGAAAGTAAATTAGATGAAAACATTCGACAGATCACATAACAGAAAAATACAATTTTGCTGAATGATGAACTGAGGAAAAATTATGGAACACAATGCTGCAGTTGGTTAAGGTAAAGAATAGGAAGCCATGAACGCTGCAGTGAGTTACAGAAGAATAATTACTCAAAAGTCAGACATGGGCCCCTGAATGTATAGTCTGTGTTCAGATAACTTCCCTCCAACACTTTCTTTGTACAAACAGGACTTAACCACGTTCTGGCAGTGCCTGAAGTCTTCAAATAAATGCTAAAGTAAGCATGTTTGAATTAAGACTCTAAGGAGGATACAAATCTACCCTACTTGTTCAAGTCTGAAGTGAGGAGCTCCCTCTCTCCTGGTCCTCTGAGATCTATTATATTACTGTCCTGCTGATGCATTTGATCCTTATATTTAAAGGATAGAAAATAAGATTTATTTCTGAAGCATAAATTCCATGAACAATTGTAAAACTGTTAGTAAGTCATGATAGTTTAGGACATATAAATCTCTCTAGTTGGCTTTCATGATTTATTGTAACAGAAAATTTCACAGTGTGTGTGAATACTGTGAAAGTCCATGTTTAAGGTCAACTTCTTAAATGAATATCTTTTCTAGATGCAGATCATAGACCCTTTTAACTTCAATTTTTCTGGTTCTCAATGCCATAATCTCTTGCCTCGTTCCTAGTCTCATTGTCCAGAATAACTAAAATATTCTATTTGCCTAGTTTGGTCTAGCCCTATTCATGGTGCTGTATCTGAATCACGTTGCTTTCTCCTTGTCTGTACTGCTTAGGTACCAGTGGAAATAACCCTGAAAGTGAAAGACAAAGAATGTCTCTAATCTTAGCTCTGGTTAGCCAGTTGATCTGTGGCTTCCGGCATCCAGAAGTACAAGGACAACCAGGACAATATGATTAAACTGGGAACTGAAGTATGTTCAGAGAGGTCTGGGGAGTGGATTTCTGTGAAAATGAAATCTTGCAGAATACTGCTTCAAGTTTTTCCCAAGCATACTCAAATGGTGATTTTCAGAGGAGACATTGAAATGGATATTAATAGCAATAAAACCAAGGCAAATCTCTGGCACAACTTGCAGGACAATTTTTGAGCCACTGCTTCAAAGTAGCAGAGGCACTAAAAATTCTCAGCAGCACAGTTACAGACATTTCTGTGTGTAGGCAAAAAGGTTTTTTACTTTGTCCAAGTCTTAGAAATGTTTTTAGCATTTTCACTGAAATTTTTAAGACAGCTTGTGTTCTGAGGCAGATAACAGAATGGAAAATTTCAGTCTAACCAATTAAAGCACAGCAAAGCTTGGAACAACAGAAAGCAGGCTTTAATAGTAGAAAGTGTCCAGCAAATGTAACTACAGGTAGCGTTTCCAGCATTGCTGCTAATTGATTATTATGTTGTTAGCATTACTACAGTTAAGTAATACTTACATGGCACATAGGAGAACATGACAATAATAAGGAAGTAATAGTAGTCAAAGGAGACATTATATTTGTTGGGAAGTCTCAGTGAAAACATTCCTGTTTTCTTCACATAGGGTAAAGCAGCATATATGGTTAGCAGTTCACCTGCAACCCCAGCAGGATACAAAATGATAAAAAAGTTGTATCTGCATTAAAAAAACAACAACATCTTGTGAGAAACACCCCATGGATTTAAAATTTCCTCTCGCTATTATTAGTGGCACAGCAATGTATTACAGTAGTTCCTGCACCAAAATCAAGGACCGCATCCTGACTTGGCACAGAATACCAGTTTCAGTTACTTTGGATAGCATTGCTTAGGTTTACAGAAAATGCATTCCTCCATCCTTTTATTTAAAAACAGGTAAGTATCAGAATGTTTCTGTCTTTCTAATATTAAAGAGTAAAAAAATCCATAAATTTATAGTCTCCAATAATGACTTTTAAAAAAATTTACTGATCTTGCTCCTGTTGTCACCAACAGGATTCAGACCAGGACTGGATCCCAAATTCAGATGATCCTACATATCTTTGTCACAGTGCACAATGGGTCAACTCTATGCATTGTAATTTCTTTAAAGGTAATGAAAACATTGAGAAACATCACAAGACTTTTACCCACTACTACATGGGAATCCAAATAATACTACATTTACTACCAATGGAAATAGAAATAAAAGAAAATGAAAGTGCCAGAAAGTTATCAGATCCATTTTAAAATGAAATGAAGATATTCAAATAAAAGGTGAAGGTGTTCATCTTATAGAAAGTGTGATTTGAATGCTATAGGCCACATTGGTGACAAAATGAAAAATGTAATCAGTAGGGTTTGCGCTGTCCTTAGGCATAGTGCACCATGGAGATGCAGTTTCTCCTAAGGAACAGCTCTCAAGCTCATGCAGGGAACAGCAATGAGAGAGTCGCACAGAGAGAAAGGTACAGTGTGCACTCCATGACCAAAAGAGATCCAAAACTGCAGCAGACAAACATGAAACCCTCCTAGGAGCAAATGGGCTAAGAGGACTCACAGCTCAGAGAACAGATTAGGGGAAGTACAAGCAGGAACTGATCCTGTGACCTACACACAGTTTGTCTCTATGCAGTGAAAAAAAAAAAAAGTAAAAATTTTGAACTAAAATTTACATCATACCTATGCCATTAACAATGGACAGACAAATCTTTTACAATTACAAGCTAAAATCAGAAATTTCCAGCTCTCTTGAAGTACTGAATTTATGCCCAGTTGTGCTGTCTGATTATCCATACATTTTGATGGGATATTTTGGAGTCTATGAAAAGATAATAGATTTTCAAATGTTTTGTTTATAGTATATTTCACCATATATCGCTGCTGTAAGAATGTCAGTTTTCCTTATTGTCTATTTTAAAGAAACAAGAATTTTGTCATTCAAGACACACTGATTTGATAGCAAAAAGTGTATTTGTCAATGTAGTTCTTTTTGAATGCATTTCTCTTTCTGAAGTATACATTAAAAATATTAATGAAACCAGTCCTGCTTATTTTTAAGTTTGACTTTTAGTACTTAAAGGTAATCAAGCCTACCACCTTAGGAATTAGCAAAAAGGTAATGTATTATAAGAACTGACATAAACACCAAACATATCAAAGAAGTGCATTAGAAGCATCAGAAGTGCATTATCTATAGACAAAAATAAAGGAAAATAAACAAATACAGTCTTTAAAATAAGCCTTTGCTGAATATTAGATGATTTCCTTCTAATAGTGTAAGTCTGTCTGTCTTACATGTATTTTTCAAATAATGACTATAGAGAACACTACTCTTCCAGTTAAGTGTCATGATAAACACGTAGTCTCTGTAATATATGTGATCTACTGGCCAATCTTAAGTATGATTCAAAATCAAAGCAGTTTTGATATGAAACATATTTTTTTTATGTGGGCTAAACTAAACTAAATCAATATTTAGACTCACTACATGGGCATAACCTTACAAAAGCTCTGATAAAGCAGAACTTCTCATAAAGTAATAATATGCAAACAGCTTGAGTGACAACAACTCCCGCATTTTCAAAGACCTGAAATCCACACAGACTAGCACAGGTGCTTAATACTGGGCATTGTATTCAAAAGCATCTTAAGGAGTCATACTGTAAGTTAAAAGATGACTCCAAAGCTAAAGAAAAAAACCTAAAGTAAATGAAAGCAGAGTACAAACCATGAGACATAGAAAGCAAAGAACAAATCACACCCTAAAATCTGAGCTAAAATATTTTTCACATTTTATACGAAGTAACAATGATGCCAAGTATAGAAAGCAACTGACTTGCACTCTGCTGACACATAACCGAAGCTCAAACATCTGCTTTCCTGTGTGTTAGCTCAGCATGCGTGAAACTAACATGCATGGAACCATGAGAAACTAAAGTGCAAGACTCTCCACCTGGCCCATTTAATGAAGTATGGCAAATGGTTGAGCAGGTTGAATGTGTAGAAGGAATATCGAGTAATCTCTGTCACAGTCCATACGACCAGAAAAAGAATAACGCTCTCCTCATTCTGGATCTGCAGAAGTATAAAGAACCAACACTTTCTTCATCCTTAAGCTTCTTTTCTGTGCAAACTGCAACAAACTTCTGTTTAAGATATATGGAACAAAACTAACATCTTGTAAAGAAAGAAAATTTTGGCATAAAAGTGATATGCTGAAATCATTACCATGTAGATCATATGTATTTACTAACATACAGACGTTGTGCAAACTGAGCAATATTTATCCATTATGCAAATATCAAAATATAAACCCCTATAATTAAGCTTATTCATCCTTTCTTTTCCTTTATTTTCACCATGCTATCTGTTTCCTTCTTTTTATTTGTGGTTGATTTACTTGTTTATTTTCTCACTCCTCAAAACAGCAAGAAAAAAACGATGCTACAGAAGATACATTCCTTTCATAATCAGTTTTTATTCATTCTGCATTTCACTAGTCTGTCTCCTAGACATGCTTTTACTTTTTATCTTGCTTCTTCCTCATCATATAATGCACGTCTCCATGAAACTTTACATAAAACTTACACTTGCTTAGTATAATCTACTAACTGGAACTTGGTCGCAGAAGATCAAATTTGGCAGACTTCAAGGAGCTGTAAGATAGTTAAGGAGCTGGAACACAGATGGATCTTGTAGATCATGAGCCTTGGGTAAACTCACTCAACAATCCCATTTAAGATTTAAGTTCTGAGTCATTAAACTGCCTCATCGGTAGATAGCACATCTCTCTCCTGTTTCAAAACATCGCTTCTTTTTCACTCTAAGTGAACAAATAAACAAAAGTCCCCAAATACAAAGAAGGTATGTGGGGATCTCTTACAAACACTACCTTCTGAGAAGTAGAATTACACGCAAGTAATTTTCTTTTCTTTAAAAGGGGAGGAATTTTGTAATACACTTCCATGCCTGAAGTCTGAAAAGCTCCAGGGATGTCTGTGAAATAAAATAAAGTAACACAAGTTTTGTTAAAATTACAAAAGAGGGAAACGTTTTTTTTTAAATAAAATGCAACATGGTGACAAAGCTTAATAATACATCTTAAAGATGCTGAAAATCCACAACTCTGTCAAAAATCAAGAAGAAATATAAATGCTCATCATGTCATAAAATTACGCCCTCAGTGTGTCAGTTAAAGAAGGTGCACTTTTAGTGAACATATCAACATCACAAAAGGAAAGGAGATATAAAAATACCGCCAAATTCACAGACAAATAGCAGCATCTGAAGTGCAAAGACACCCAAACAAATAAGCAAAGGTAAAGACAGAATTAGGCTATTCTTAGCCTCATGCGATTAGAGACAAACATTGATAACCCAAACCTGAATTCATGTCACAGTGCTAAATTCAAGCAGAAGAGCTTTAAATAAGTATACAGAGAGTTCCTATCTGTTGCCTTGCAAATCTCCAGTCAAGTAGAGAGATCTGGGTCTGGCTGTTATCACTAACACACCTCTCACCACCTAAAGCGACCCTGAACATTCATGCCTGCTAAGCACTAACAGTGTGAAATACAATCAGACATACGTTCAGATGTATTTTTTCATGGACACAGCTTGACCTACTGTACTGAGAATGGAGTAAACAAAAGAAACGACTGGATATGCTAAAGATTTAATCCACTGCAAATAATAACAAAATGGCAAAATGCAGTGCTATATACCAGCATTGATGTAAACATGCAATATAAAATCTTTGAGACATTTTCCCTTGAGAAAATGAAAACACTTAGGTTACAAAAAAAACCCAAACCAAACCCCGAACACTATGAAAAGCCTATTCCATGTTAAGAAAGCAACAGCAAAGGAAAAGATAAAGCGTATAAAACGAGTCCTCTGTGAACTGAAACAAAGGAATTCGACAACCGAGGCAGGTGCTGTGATAGCCCATTAGCAGAAAGGCATATGCCATCTGCTGGTGAGACAGTTTAATGGCTCAGCTCTTTCAGTTTAAAGAAATTCAGGAGCACAGACTCAAAATCCATTACTTAATTCTTACATGCCCTTCACAGAAAGAAGACCTCAGAAACTGAACTGAACATCCTATCTACTAGCTGTAGGCAGTCTGCTTGTTTCATTCTGCTAACGAATCACTAGACTTACCATAACCACCTACAGTCAGGCAAATAAACTACCATCATTTACACAGGACCTCAAGTGCCACTGTGGCATGCTGGATGACTTAATATATTTTTAATGAAAAAAATGCAGTATGCATGCCATCAAATGTAAATATTACCATAAAATTAAATCTTGAGAAGGTTCCTAAAACAAACTGCAAAATCACAACCATGTTTATCTAGGTAAATTCAATGACACATTTTCTTTTCGACTAATTCAGTAAGTGCTAATTTAGGTTTTTGAAAGGGAACCGGTAACACTGTGGTAGATTTGCTAGTAAATAATAGCAGCAGTCAGTGATCTCACTTAGGCAGACCACAGCCTGCACAATGCCAAAGACAGAACTGATTCACAGTTAAGAGCCAGACTTAAGTCTCCTGAGTAGAAGCATATAAATTCCATCCTGTAACCCCAACTTCCAAAATCACACTCAAGTAACGTAAGTATTCTCTGTAGGAATGTCATTAATTTTTAAACTGGTCTTCCTTGTGAAATGAGAACTGTATTAATAGCTTCTCCTTAAAAACAATCAAAACATGACCTGCTCACACACATACCTGTTTTATACTATGTGCAATGAACCATACCATGAAGATTCTTGAACTCACTTGGACCCCAGTCACAAGCACGGATGTGCGAACTATTCCTTAAAAAGAGAAACATGTTATCTCTGTTCCACAACTCATGTTTTAATTAGTTACAGTAGAAACTAAAACAAAGAACTCACCAACTGCACAGTGGACTACCTGTAAATAAAAATAAGTTAGAGGTTACTGATGTACAGTATGTTACTATCTACACTATAAACATGGCCTTTTGATAGTAATATAAACCTAAGCTTAATTCTGAAGGAGAACTGGTTTTTTGCCTCCATCTAACAACCTTTAAAAGAAACACACATCAGAGCCCTGGCTACCAATGCTGTGACGGGCTCAGTATCTGATCTGTGAAAACACATGAAAGAGGCTTATTTTCCAAATTAATTGTACATATTACATATTTAGACACTTACAAAGCAATTATTTTTCAACTAGTAAGCTTCTCTTTCATTGTCTTATTCCAGGAATAATTTTACAAGACAGTGTAGAGGGAGTTATATAAGGGATGCTAAACACATAGCAACTTTCAAATGTTCTGTATTCATTAGGGTTTAATAACATTATTATAATTTTGCCAATAATAGCTATGAATTTTTAGATTTATTGCATTTTCTGGGCAGCAATGTTTAGCAAATAGAGTGCTTTTCATTATTTCGACAGATTTGAGTAGAATTGCTTATTGTGAAAGTTTAATATACAGCTGGCCACATGATTTTAATAGTTGCTTGAGCTACAGATGTTGTAGGCAGATTGAGAAAAAAGTTTAAATGTAGATAGGCACTCTATGTTGTGCCTGGGAAAGAACTGTGAGTGCTCAACACATGCAACAGTTTCATTCCACAGATGTACCATAAACTGAGACCACTAGTGCATAGCTGGCAAAAGTAGTATATACTTTGCAAAACTTGCACAGAGCATTTTGTAACAGATTATACAGGGCATATGAATCCAGTCTGGAAATAAGAAGAAGCAGGAAAGGCACAGAAGGATAATGAGTCCGGTACAGGAATAAGAGGGAAGTTATCATCTCTGGAGATGGAGACGAGATATCTACTGCCCTAGAGGGTCGATGTGCTGGCTGGAATGCCTTCAGAAATTTTGCCTTCTGAGTTAAAGACTCTCAAATCAAAACAGTTCCCAGGCAGTATTTGATTTAAATAAATACTAGAGTTAAGTTTAAAAAAAGTGCCCATTTATTTCAACTAATCAACTTGCCCCCCCCCCCTTTTGTCAAATAATAAAGTTAAAAGGACTTTAAGTATGAATATAATATTTTGATATTAAAATCAGGTTAATAATGTGATTTGCCTATGATAAACAGTATCCAGTAAAGTAATCTGATGTTTAAAATTTACCTCAAGCAAAGCAAATGTCTGGAAAAATTTAAGCGTCCTTTGAACGCTTCTGAATAAGCCTCTATGTGTTCCTTTCTGTATATAAAACCGCACCATGGCAATACCTAATACCAGCCACCTACAAAAGAAAGAGAATGGATTCATTTCAAATTAGGATTCTAAAAATATCCATCCACTGTAAATAATTTAGTAGAATATTTTCTTCACGGCATATCTTTGCCTCTTCACTTTTCAGTGTTCTCAGGTGATTATTAAAAACACCTTTAGACATAAGTATTATATAATGTTATATAAACATTACATTCTTTTATCTCTTTACTTGGAAAAGGATAGAGAATTACTTGTTTACCTTCACAGGACTGACTTGAATTGAGGGGACACCCCAAAACCACAGGGCCATTAGACTTTTCACTAGCAATGACTACATATTTTTACTATTAAATCATTACTGTAAATTACTGTTATTTGAAAACACATGATGAACTTGACACTGAAGCCGCCATTTTGGGTTGCAGGTTTGTATAAGTAAAGGACTGGAAACTATGCACATCATTTTTACATTTTCCATGGCCTCATAATTTTCAGAACCAACTAGTGATCTGCATGCTTCTGTCTGTGATTGTCCTACTTAAGTTACCATTACAATTCAGTTTTCAAGAGTGTTGAGAAGTTATTTTTGAAAATCAGACTCTGAAGTGCTGAAAGATGGGTGCTCTATGCTCCCAGCTTCCAGAGGCAGGTATATCTAACTAGCACATTTGACGGTGTTGGCTGATTTTTAAAATATTTTTTAAAGGAAACTGAACATTGATACTAACTGATAACCCTTCCAATGTAAAAGAACGAAAGTAACAGTATCTTCTAATCAAACTGGACTTTGATATAAAACTTAAATTGAAATCTCAAATGGAAATTGAGACTAAAAGAAAATAAACTTCTGAAATGTGGTGGGTAGATCCCCACCACCCAACCCAGACCCAGTACGATAACACAAGGCTAGCGCAATTCCTTCCACATAATTAACTCATGTTTATATAATTATGTTTTTCATAATAGTGTACTATGTTGCATCCTTAATGCAGAGCTATAGCACATTCTTACAAACATCATGCTAGCGAGATCCCTGAAACTTCAGGTTTCAATATCCAAAGACTAAGAATGTATGAAAATTCTTTAGTATACTTATAGGCATAACTAAAGCTATGGATGGCTATTTTGAGAATTAAAAATTACAAAAATTACAATAACTCTTGCGTAACTTCTTGTCTGATGATATTTAGAACGATTAGTCCTTTCATTCTACATAAAGCCACAGCAAGCACGCTGTACAGTGATATGAGCTCTGGCTAAGGAAGGGTCCAAGCGACAAAGCAAAGGGGGCTAAGAAATACTCAGAGGCAGACTCAGAGAGCACACAGATGTTTGGGTAAGTATTTTTATAAACATTTGGATAAATATTTAACACATCTTTTCTTACACTCTTCCCTAAGCATAAAGTATTGGCTTAAGGTTGGAAACAGGGTACCAGGAAATACTGACCTTAGGTCAGACCTATTACAGTTACAGCATGGGAGTTGCATGGATGGTGACAGCTCTCTCTTCTCCTCAAATGACACGTACTTCAGTATCAGCCCCTTAACAACACTTATACATGGTGGCTATTGCTACGCAGTCACTTGGCGTGGCCCATTCCAGCACTTTGTGACGGCATTTCAAACTCCCATAGAGTTAGTCTGGCTTCCCAGCACAGTAGAACGATTACCCTCCTGATCCCTTCTACTTTAAGCCCATGAATCCGATCTACCAGAGCTCAAAAATTTTCCCCCACAAGTGTTACTTAGATTTTGTAACAGGTTTTAAATCTGAGTGCATTAATCTGAGCTTGTTTCCCACCATTGTGGAAAGGAGGAATTAATGGAATATCACTGGTAGTCCTTCCAAGTGAAGCTGCCCTGTTTTATAGTGAATTGTGTGACAAGAGGAAGGTGACAGGGTGTTTACATCCAGCTGGCAGCAAGAATGGTGACAGCAACCGCTCTGTCCTAGCCCCAGACTGATAAGTCATAATACATCTAACCTAACAAGGCCTTTTCTGCACCTCATTCTGTATCAAAAGGGTTGTGAAGAGAAGTAGTCTTGGACAACACTCAGAAGCAGACTGCAAATACATTTTTCTTAAATAAATTTTTGTTGGGACATGAATTTCTGTGGATTGATTTATTTAGTTGTCAGTGGCTTTGACTCTGGATCTCAGGAAAGACCTTGCACTGAGTGTTGCAAATCACCAGGGAATGGAAAACACTTTCCATAACACAGGTAGCATTTCCAGTTGGGACTTTCAGCAAGATTGGGTACTGATCCGTCATTTTAGTCCCTTAAACCTTTGTTAGAAAGAAAGATATGCTGCAATTTTTTATTAAAATGATTGTTAATGTGCAATTATGTATTAGTTTGTTAAAACTCTGGAAACACTTTGCTACTTTGCACTGTCTGGACAAATGGATAAATATGCTGTTCTGGTTACTTATCTTGTGTAGTGCCCTTGTTAAGTATTGCTCTTTTCCAAATGTTTATTTTTCCTTAAATTGTATCCGTAAAAGTTTATGAGAAAAGTTTCCTCCTGTTTCTCTGTTTCCACATAAAATATGCAATTTTGCACGTCCTAATTCCTTTTGATATTAATGGAAGACAGGAGAGAAGGAAGGGGAAGATACTGAATCAGCACCTAAGGTCAAAACTAATGTGGTTCGATAATCTTCTACAGACCTATAAAAGTCAGTGGTAAGAGTCAGCGTTCATTAGCAAATTCACACATGGAGCATGAGGCTGTGAATTCAATGAGGTAACATTAACCTGCCAGCTAGAAAAAAATTACATTGAGTAAAAGCACTTTTCAAAAGGTGCTGCTACGATATATGAACAGACATGAATATGTGTTCAGGATTCACAGATGCTGGTGAGTAGAAAGCCATTATGATCACACTCCCGGCTTTCTGCATCAGTGCTTGAACTCCTGCTTCAACTAGAGTGTACCAGTTTTGCTCTATGGGATTCAAAGGGCAGAGAGTTCACCCACTGACAACCAAGGTAAAATTGTTCTTGTGATGAATATCAGCCTAGAAGCTATAAAATTTTCTGATCTTAGTTTTCTTTTAAGCATATGGAAATTAATAGTTTGTTGGGGTTTTTTTTTCCCCAAGAGGTAGTGAACAGGACAAATTTTCAAGAAGTGAAGGTACGTTCTTCAAGCACTAACAACATAAACCTGAGTGCTCTTATGATCTGAGTGCTCTTATGATCTGTTATTCAAAATAAATACCCACTTCCCTCTAGGCAAAGCATCGCGATGTGGAGCACTAGCTCAAACGAGCCCCTTGGGTTATGACAGCTCTTTCCCCCTCCTCCCACCCGCTGCCCACCGCTAATCGTCCGCGGGAGCCGAGGGCCGCGCTCGGCTTTGCCCATCGCTACCTCGCAGGGAGCCGGTCCGGGCTCTGCCCGCCGAGACCCGGGGCTCACGGACC